ATCAACCTTATTGTTATATATACTATATGTTTCAATAAAATATCCATTATACTATTTTCATTTTGAACGGTATCATCCTGTATAATAATAACAGTACATCGTATACAGGTTATGAGACATTCTGACCGACCGACCGACCGACCAGAGGAGCCCACCACGCTATTTAGGTCACGCCTTGCTATATACGATTTAACGATATACCGTCGGTCCATCGATCCGCTATTTTTCGATGCACCCCTGTATACACGTTGCCCCCCGTAATCCACGCCAACACCAGACAGGTGCGACATCGGCGCCATCTATGCGCGAGATGCCCAACCCATCAATGGCAGCTGTCCAATGACGCATAGATTCCGTTAGGTTTGTACACCGCCAAACAAATCTACGCCATTTATGCGCGAGATGCTCAACCCATCAATGACAGGTGTCCAATGACGTATGACAGATGACGTGTAACGCCATCTATGCGTGAGATGCCCAATGACGCATGACAGGTGTCCAATGACACACAGATTCCGTTTGGTTTGACAGCGCCATCTAGCGGCGGAATCCCCAACTCATGAATACAGATTCCGTCCAACAACCTGTCAATGGCGCGCGACGCCAGCGCCTCTGGTGGCGGATTTTGGAAGTTTTGAGACCGAATCCCCATAAGACATCTACTTCGCGTAAACATAAGAACTGATCAATACACTGAATGTACTATTTAAGATAAGCAAGCTGGTATCTACTTCCGGTACAACAGAAAGTCCCAGCATTTTGAACATAATTAGCCGATTTTTCTCTGTTATACAGGGTGCGGCAGAGAGGATGGACGGTTTTAAAAAAATCATAAAACAGTTAATTTTTACTCGAAAACAAATTTATTGAGTCAGGTTCATAAGGAAATAGCATTTGAGACAGTCAAGTGTGGAAAATCACATCAGGCATGTGGTGGCCGAAATCGTTGATGCAGTGCTGGAGGCTTTCTTGGAAGTTCGCGTAGACTCTCTCCAACATTGCCCTTCAGTTCGTCCAGAGTTCGGGGCTTGCTCGCGTACACTCTAGCCTTGAGGTGTCCCCATAAGAAAAAATCGCATATGGATAAATTTGGGGACCGAGGAGGCCAATGAACATCGCCAAACCTGGAAATAAGGCGACCAGGGAAGAGAGGGCGAATAACGTCCATGGATGCTCGGGCTGTGTGAGCGGTCGCCCCATCCTGCTGGAACCACACACGTCGGATTGGAACACGTCGCCATCGTAATTCAGGGAGAAAGAAGTGGTTGATCATGTGGACGTAGCGCTCTGAGTTCACGGTAACATCACGACCACTACCGTCTTCGAACCGTTACTTTTGGGCTGTGCAGCGGTCTTTCGTGTAACTGTTGCAGATTTTCATTAGCCCAATAACGACAATTCTGCTGGTTAACCATGCTGTTTAGGTGAAAGTGAGCTTCGTCACTCATAAACAAAATGAGGTTCTCATTTTGATCGATCAGTGCTTCCATCTCACGGGCGAAGTTCATTCGTTGTGCATAATCTCCGGGCTGTAACTGTTGCACAATGGCCAATTTGTAGGGGTGAAAGCGGAGATCCATATGCAAAATTCGCTTTACCGAACGATCACTAAGGCGAAGTGCAGCAGCATGTTTCCGGGCAGATCGAGTCGGACTGCGAAGAAAGACCTGTCGAACGCGTCCAACATTTTGAGGAGTTCGAACTTTTCGCGTCACTCCTCTTGGTCTTCTGTTGATCAGTTCACTACGCCTGCGAAATGATTCAACCCAACGAAGGATGGTGTTTCGAGAGGGAACAGCTCTATTCCGATGAATGTTGAAGTGGCGACGAAACTCACGCTGTACGACGATGACTGACTTATTAATTCGGACGAAACAATCATATTCGAAAACGCGGTGCTCCACCGTCCAAGGCTCCATAACGACAACTGGTAAAATAATGCTAGGATCTCACGAGTCAAACGGCACCCTCTCCACCTCTCTCGTAGACGGAGGCGGAGAGTACTACCCATCCCAAAAACGTCCGTCCTCCCTGCCGCACCCTGTACTATAAACCCATATTTTCGTAACTTTCTTAACGTACTTTTTGTCTAATCGATCCGCGTGAGACACCCTGTATAGTTTTCAGTAACAGTAAACAGTTCTTACGCCTTTGAGCTCGATTCTTGATAAAATTTAGTAAACTTCTTAAATAATTTAATTTTATAAGATAAAAATATAAATAAACTTTAAACAGAGTTCACTTAACGGAAAACCCTTTCGTGTGGTGAGCATCCAGGTGCAAAGCTTCATTTCAGATTCACGTCACATCTTTCATCAAGCACAAATGCAACATCATACAGTGCAGCAATATTAAAATAGAAAACGCGAACTAGCGGAAGGTATATAATTCCATATGCAAATCTCGTCTTTTGCATTTTTCACAGAATTAACCCTGAAAATGGGTAACGCCTGGAATCCTCTTATGTTCCTCGAATGCAGCTTTTACCATCAACGCAGAGATGCAGCTCACTCTTTCCATTCGTAGCGAGTTTTTATTATTTTCCATCAGGAAAAGCATTTTCCCCGACAACAGCACTGGAATTGTATTGTCTAATGTACTTGAGATATTGCCTCTACCTTTCTTGTGTAAAAAAATCCAGCGCCCTCATCAGTTCATACATAGAGGATGCTCAGTACAAGTACATGTATAATAGAGAAATTAAAGGGATCAAGTCAGTCAAATAGGCTCAAACAATTAGACCATATACACTCTTTCCCTGCCCCACTGGTAGTTCCGTCCATCTGACAAGGTCGTCCCTCCTCCAAACCTGCATCAAACTCGGCAGCGCGACACCGTGGCAGAGACATACCCTTCCTCATCCCCGAACCCCGTTTTCAATCCTTATAAATTTTTTCTGAAAATGATCAGAAGCCTCTGCGTCAAAAAAAGGAATTTGGACGATTTTAATTACTTGTTTTTTTGCTCTGTAGTTTCGTCATTACTGGACCGATTTAGAAAGCTTTTTCGTCCTTGGCATAGTAGTAACCTTGTGTAAATTTCATCAAAATCCGTGCGGTGCTTTCCAAGTTATAGGGTCTAGGATTAGCGAACAGACAGACATACCGAAATACAAACTGACGAAAATGACTGAAATGGTTTTCCGTGATGTGCAGGTTACTTAACATTCAAACATAAGTAAAAGTAATGTGAATGCTCGTTCCTTCGAATTTCATTAAGTTTATTCTTTCCGACTCAAGTGCTGCCCATAGCTCTGCTAAGTTGAAGCTTTACACTCTGTTAATTAGGTCACGTTCATTTTTATCTCCTGATGAACTTTGACTGGCGGAAAATGGATACGTTTGCGGCTATCGGGCTACCCGGGAATCCTGGATTTAAGCGGGATAATTGAATCAAGCCTGGATGAATTTTTCCCTTTCCGGTTCCCGAATTGGGGTTTGTTTGACGTACATCAGCCAACCCTAACCAATTGTCTGCTTCAATTTGGCACACAATGACGACTAAGCGGAAATACAGCAAGCGAATAATTTGTTGTATCAATTTGTAGTTGCGTAATGGTACCATACAAAAATGTGCCGAATTGATTACTTAAAACCTAGGTGATAAGGACGGAAGTATCCAAGCGCATTTTTCATAAATTTGTGGCTTCAATCACTGATTAACGTATTCCACCTGAAGATACCCAATTGAAATGAGCAATAGAGACGCCAAAAAGATATTGAAAATCTGATCGACATCTGTGCGTAACCAAATACTCTAACACTATCAAAATTTTTATAATATACAGGGTGTTTTCAAAGTTGAGTCATTCATTTTAACTGCTTGTAGGTATCGTCAAAAGGAGTTAATATACCAAAAATCATCTATCTAAAAGTTCCATAATCAAAAAATAGCAAAAGATTAATAATTTAAAAAATAAGAATGTTATTACACAGATTTTTTGACAATCTTGACCACTGCTGTGTAATATTTCAGCAGTTTTTGTTTACTACTTTTATCGTTTATCTAAATTTGGCAAACTTTTAGAGTTATTGTATGTCTTTAGATCGATCAGCTGTATAAGTCTTTTAATAGTGCATATCAATTGTATGATTATTTTCCACACACCGAGTATTTAAACGAACAATGAGAAGGGCACGCTGGAAGACCTGCGCAACCTAAAATGTAACAAATTGAGGTAGACATTTTAGAAATGGTCGAAGACGTCCCAACAATGAGTACTAGAGCCATAGCAAGTTGAAGTTTCTCGTAGCAACGTGTGGAAGACAATGCGACAAGAACATTATTATCCTTATCATTATCAACGGGTACAAGCTTGAGATTTTCCATCTAAAAACACTCGTGGCGTAAGTGTCTATGTCCGAAATAGATTTTTTTGACAATTCGCTAAAATTTCTAAATGGCGTTTTCGAATAACCACGATATTCCACTCATGTTTAAGCAAAGAAAGCTATAAGCCACATAAATTTCAAAATGGGCGACAAACGGAAATTTAACATATGGTTCTTTCAATGATATAGAAAGTAAATATGATGCTGGATTTAGTTCAGATGACAGTGTGAAAGACTGAAAGACAAATACTATCCTCCGACTGATAATTGTTCTGATAGTAACCAGGCCCCAGGCGAATAAATGATTCGTTGTTTACCACTTTACCGTCATTAAAGATGTAGCTTATGTTTTTGTTACATAGGAGAGTATTTTTTGTATTAGTTTCATAATATCACTAGATAATGATTGCAAACTATCTATTTATCAGAATATATCACTATCAGCCTTATTGAGAAGGACTATCGTAGACCGCAAATAACTTTAATACGCGTCAGTACGAGGGATGTATTTTAAGTTTTGCATATAGAAACATAGTAGGCCGCGCGGATCGACCGTCAGTACTGAATCTTAACCTCACTCTTTAGTAAACTTAAATTCAAACTTTCACAACAATACGTGCAGTGTTCTCACTATAGTGAATTTTTAAGTGTTACCAAGTCATTAGAAAAATGGAACTCAACCGAGAACATTTTCGCGCCATAATTTATTACAACTTTCAGAGACAATTAACGCAACAAGAATGCCTTGCTGAGTTGCTTTATGTCTGTTTTCGGCAACGAAGCGCCACATCAGTCGACAATTTCCCGTTGGTATGGAGAATTCAAACGTGGACGGCTGAGTCTTGGCGACGATCCCAGGGTGGGTGCACCAAAAACGGCAGTCACCCAGGAAAACGTCGATGCTGTGCGCAAACTCATCATTGAAGATAGACATGTGACATATCGCGAGATTGAGGCATCCTTGAAGATCTCAAAGACCTCAAGTCAAAAAATTTTACATGAAGAATTATGAGTAAGAAATTAGTTTCTCGTTGGACACCCCACCTGTTGACTGAAGAGCAGTCAAAAAACGCTTGACCGTTTCAATTCCGGAAACTCAAAAAATGTGTACAACATTGTTAGTGGTGATGAATCGTGGATATACTGTATGAACCAGAAAATAAACGACAGTCGGCTGTTTCGGAGTTCCAAGGTGAAGGAAAGCCAACAAAAGTCATCCGTTCTCGAAGTGTTCGAAAAAGATGGTCGCGACATTTGTGTCCTCTTAATGAGCAAAGAACTATTACTGCGGATTGGTATACCACCATTTGTTTGCCAAAAGTCATTACCGAGCTTCGAAAAATCAACCGCGAAAGAAGAATCATCCTCCACCAAGACAATGCAAGCTCGCACACAGTCTAAAAAACAAGGAAGTATTTAACGGAAGAAAACGTGGAATTATTGGACCATCCTCCGTATAGTCCCGATCTAAGTCCTAACGAGTTCTTTACTTTCCCGAAAATTAAAAACAGACTGCGTGGTCAAAGTTCCAGTCACCAGAAGAAGCAGTTGATGCATTCAACAATGCCGTTTTGGATCTGCCAGCAAACGAGTGGAATAAGTGCTTCGAAGATTGGTTCGAGCGCATGCAGATGTGTATTAATGGAGAATACTTCGAAAACAATAAAGTCATTTAAAACTACCTACCGTGTTGTTTTATTTCCATATGCAAAGTTAAAATCGTAATATGTAATTTTGTGTATTTTTTTTATACTCAAACTACCACGAAGGCCTAAGGCCTAAGCACCCATTGGGTACCGTAGAGCTATAGGGGGATACATGGGAAGGGGGAACGCCACCCGAACTCTGGCGAGGGACACGTGTGCATGCAACATGCACACATTCTGGCTCCGCCTACGAGATCCGCCGGGTGGTACCTCCGCGTTCGACAGTCAGAGATCGTCTACACCTACTGACAATCACAAACATCCATAGCCAAGAGAAAAATTTCTCCTGGGACGGGACTCGAACCCGCACAGCGCACGGCGACTGATCAGGAGACCGAAGAGTCTACTACTGCGGCCACCGCTGCTGCCTCTGCCGCTGTAAGTGGCTTAAGCCCTTCTTGGCCAAATAAATTTATCTGTGTGCTGTGCCTTCTTCAGGAACTGCATATTTTTTCGAATAGAAAACTTATCTGACACAGTCGTAATGGAAAAACAGAGCTTTACGCATTTGGTTCTATATTGCGAGAGAAAAAAGATTAACGTAAATAGGAAGGGTGTCAAATTTAATGAAGTGTGAGGTTTAAGTCTGACAATGCACACCAACATTATAAGTTAAAAAAAAAACCATTTTTATATTACCCTTGGAGTACAACTTTCTTTTTCAATAAGGCACCAAGCCACAACATTTTCAAAAATAAATTAAGTTTATTTTTTTTATTCTGTTGTCACCAAAATTTTCTCCCTCAAATATAAACTATTGTAGCAGTTCAACCCGAAGTTCATTGTAGGATTTGAGCAAAACTTATAACTTTTGGCATAAAGTCAATATAGCTTAAGTACCTTATTGCCCCCTTCAAGTGCGTATTTCTTTTCCATAGTACATTTTTAATACGGTTGTCTTTGCAAGCCCTCAATACAAATTTATGCGACTGTGGGCTGTGATAACATACAGGGTGTTTCAACTATGGGATCAACTTGTAGGGGTTATTTAGTGTGACAGTAGAAAAATTTGAGTATAGGGACCCATATCCGGCGTTTGTGTGTTATTATCTTTAAAAACGATAACATAGATTGTTTTTTGGAGCTGCATTCCATATCGTCTTAGTCGTGCTATAGTATTTGTGAAGTTTGCAAGAATTTAACAAAATTAATTGTTGCTAACGGAAAAACTTTACAATCAAGAATTGACGGATATGCATTTAGCATACGGAGCAACAAGTTGCAATGCACGAGCAGCAGCGCGGTTGTATCAAGAACGTTATCCCGAACGACAGCATCCGGGATACAAAAAGTTTATTGCTATGCATCGGCGGCTCCGAAACAGGCATGTTTAAACCAACAAGCATGATACTGGTGTTGCTCGAACCGTAAGAATGGTCAAATTTGAAGAAAAGGTCCTTCAGTGAGTTGCCGACGAACCATCAAGTAGCACATGTCACATTGCTGAGGATATGAATACGAGTAACGCTTCCGTCTGGCGGGTGCTACACGAGCAACAACTTTATCCTTACCACTTCCAGAAAGTTCAAGGATTGACGCAGCCGATTATCATCCTAGAGTTCAATTGCTTCTTCAACTCGCTGCACAACCAAATTTTTAACGCTATGTTTTGGGACCGATGAAGCCTCTTTCACAAGGGACGGTATTTTAATGTAGGTCTAGCCACGTTTTGGACAAAGAAAATTCCCATGCAATTTTTCCTAGAAAA